CTTCCGATCTCCCCAAAACCCCAAAACCCCATGATAATAATCGTAAATTTAAATATTTGTCAGTCAGTCAATTAAAATCAATAAATTAATTAGTCATAATCACTCATAATAGTACTTATTTTATTATATATATTGACTGTTATTAGTATATGCTTGAGGAAATGAAGAACGAGTATCAGTTTATCTCAAATCTCTAGTAATGTTATTACTTTATTGGTCGTATCTGTTGTAATTATTATTATATAGACTTCTTTGATCAGGGCTATAATTATAGCCTGTCATTTCTCCTCTGCCTGTATAGTATTTAGAACTTACATTTGTTTTAGAATTTGGATCTATACTCTAGTAGAATTAATCTCGAAATTTCTTTTCTTACTAAAATTCAGATGCTATTTATGTTTCATGAACAGGAGACTTGAAATTATTTCTTTCAGCATATCTATTCTAACCAGGATATTATTATTATTATTCAAGCAGACTAGTTTTAGGTCCCATTGAATATGATTGGCCTATTGAATTCTTGTTAAGTCCATTAAATAATTAGTTTCTACTCTCACCAATTATACTATTAACGATATTTTAGCCAGCTTTTTGAATGCTAGAATGATACTGTTTAGGTTGGTCATCAAACTATATAGTATTTGATGCATCAAATTGCTTCACTGATTGATTAAACGATTCCTTTAATGGATTATATTTCGGTAGAGTAGCTTAACTTTAGACTTATGGAAGTGATCTTTCTACAGTTGGAGGAATAATCTATTTTTATGGAAATATAGATTGAACCTTCTCTTTAGTAATTATTGTTGGCGACTGCTTGTGCTCAAGAGCTGAGACAATTTTATCAAATTTTAAGCTAGGTGAAACATGAGGATTTTCTGTCTTCTTTATAGTCACTAATTGCTTATTACTTTGATTGTTGATAAGAGAAGGTGGAGGAAAATATTCTTATGAATTTTAATGTTTTCTTTCACCAGCATTGCTTTTCAGCTACTATCTCTTTTGTTGATATCTACTCCTTTCATTTCTTTCGGCTTATGATTATTTCATATTATTCTCTGATTCAATGGCAATCTTTTGTAAATATTTAGCGTTAGGAGGCATCATCATTTCTTAATTTTCTCTATTTTCCTATCTTTCTTTCTCATTTTCTTATAGAAGTAATGACTTTGCTAAGGGTTTACTTTTTATAATCTCTTTGATATCTTACTTTTGAATCTTATCAGGATCTATTTTCTTCGGAGTTTAATCTGCAATATCATAAAACCTTTATGCAGTCTTTTTAATGACTTTCATTTTCTTTACTTAAGCTTAAACAGGTCTGAGTTAAAACCCTTCTTATTAATTTACTATGAATTTTTTTGCCTATTCTTCATATTCTTTTCTCTATCTTTCTTTCAAATACTCATACAGTTTGCGTTATTCTTCATATCCATCTAGGGGTGGTAATACCTATTTTTGATCTTCTTTTTCTGTTTGATTTTTAGCTAATTAAATATCCTAAGGTTCGGGCTTTTTCTTTGGAGTCTCTATTTTCCTTGGTTTTGACTTTTCCTTTTCTTTAAGGATAACTTGCTATTACTATTATTTTTATAACTGTTTCTCTTTTTCTTTATATTCTTGTAATTCTTACTCTCTTAATTAGTATTCTCCTGGATAATCAGCCTTGTTTACTCTTCCCTATCCTTCGTTAATTCTCTCAGTCTTTTTTATAGAGATGCCCTCTGGTCCAATCTTCATGCTTTCAATTTCATTTCGTTTTTAACCAGATTTAGGTCGGATTCCGCTAATTGAATCAAAAGCTTTTTGCATTTCATACTAGCTAATGTGACTTGAGAAGAATTGATGCTTTAAAATCTAATCACAAACTGGTCTCTTTTTTGGATTATATTCCAGCATCCATTCCATCAGATTTATAGCATCCTTGCTTGCAAATGGCATCAAACTTTGTAAATTAACTTTCTCATATCTTGGAAAATTTATTTCCCTACGCTAGGCCAATCTTTCTCCATCTTACCAATCATTTGGAGACCCCAAAACTTGAACAATTTTATTAATTTGATCCAATTCACTAGAACCAGGAAATATTGGTCTCATTAGATAAAACTCAGCCATTATGCAGCCTAATGCGAAAATATCAACTGGATAGTTATAGCTTCTCGATCTTAAAACGCATTCTGGAGCTCTATACCATCTTGTAGAAATATACTCTGTAAATGGAGGAGCACTTTTGATTTCTCTAACTAAACCAAAATCAGATATTTTGATAATTGCATTGTTTTAGACAAGCAAGTTATCAGGTTTTAAGTCACGGTGGAAAAATCCATGTTTATGCACGTAAGCCAGTCCTTATACAATTTAGAACATCATTTTTCTTATTTCACCTTCATTAAATGGTGATTTAGCGTTTCTTCTAGATTTGATTAGTTTATATACATCCATATCTAGAAGTTCAAACATCATGTAGAGAGTGTCATCATGCCTGATAACTTCTTTAAGCTTAACAATATTAGGATGCTATAATTGGATAAGTGCTTTCACTTCAGGATTACCTACAGCATCTTCCCAAGATTTGTATTTTCTTTTAAATTTTTTCATGGCCAATATCTCACCAGTCTCTTTATCCTGTACCTTAAAAACGTTTCCAAAAGAACCATCCCCAAGTGAATTAAGAATTTTGAAGCGATGCATGAGTCTTCGGACTATTTATAAATATAATTTACATTTATTGACATTACATTCTAACTAATAATTTAAATTATCTTACATCCATGGGGTTTTGGGGTTTTGGGGTTTTGGGG